ACGATTCAATGTCGCGTTACCATCCCTATTGTTCTACAACAGTAGAAATTTATCTGGGCAGTATGAACTTGTAAACTGTTATCGAGAGTCACAAAAAACCATGAAAAAATTATTTAAATGGCATTTGAAGTCCGCTGAAGCTAGAAATAACTTAGAGCAATTCAATGTTGGGTATTTATATAAAAATGGAATCGGAAGTATTCAAGATGAAGAAAAGGCATTTCAATGGCTTTTAAAATCGGCAGCATTTGTTATGAAGCAAATGATAAACTACCCAATGCATGACGACAGGGTTACTGTATTACTGTATCACGAAGATAACCTTACATGTGATTTTTGTAATACAAATACCGATATTTATGAAAATGATGTAATGATGAAATCATTAGTGCTTGTTTTCTTCGCTGCCCGATTTTTATCTAGATTTTTCGTGTGGGCCCGCCCCCCTCCCCCTAGAGATATATACATATAAAAGAAATCAGTTTCAAATGTACAGTGAAGAGAATTACTTAGGGACCTGATTGTCAACCTGTAAGGACTTGCTTGACAACGTGCTTCCTGATTTTTCAAATCAAAGCTTTATTGGTGATTCGATGAAGAAAGGTAATGAATGAGCGGAGTGCTTGGAAACCTATTCATCGACTGAAATGGCTCTGCTCAATGATTTGCTTTCTGACATTCAAAATACTGCGGTTCATCATGCATGAACCTGGCCCTTGATACTCTTGTTTTCTTCAGTAAGGCACTATAAGAAATACAATGAACACATGAGGAAAAACGAAAAATAAAAATAAGAAAATACTGGTGGTAATAAAGTAAGGTTCTACGATCATGAATACCGGAAACGGATAGGAGAAAAACAGGAAACTAGCAGTAGATAATGGCAATTATAGTAATTACATGTAGTAGATTTAGCAGCATGGCACCATTCCATCGTAATCTGAGTGAGAATATTAAAAGGCATTTCAGTGGCTCTTGAAATCAGCTGAAGGTGGAAATAAGAACGCACAATTTAACATGGGAGTTTATTATGAAAATGGAATTGGAACCGTAAAAGACGAAAAAGTCATTTTATTGACACTTGAAATCTGGCGAAAATGGAAATCCCGATGGACAATTCTATGTTGGAAACTGTTACGAACATGAAATTGGAACCGTGATAGATAAAGAAAAATCACTTCAATGGTATTTTAAATCAGCCGGAGGAAACACCAATGTGCAATTTAAAATAGGACCTTTTCATAATAATGGAATTGAAACCTCCCAAGAGAAAGCATTTAAATGGTATCTGGAATTAGTAAAAGGCAAAAATAGTCTTGGGAATTTGTCTTTGAAATTGTTATAAATAAGGAGTTGGGACAACAAAAGATAATAAGAAAACATTTCAGTGGTTCTTAAAATCTGCTGAAAATGGAAATAATTTGGGAATATATTGTCGTGGGCTAACCTGCAAGTCGATTGTCAACCCAAGATGCATCTCGCTTCGTTCGGTCAACAATAAGGTAAGTTCCTTCTTTGTTCTTGAGGCATGTCTTCGATTTGGTCGGTCTTACTTTAATCTCTCAGTCGACTAATCTAGAACCCTTCCTATGCCAATTCCCTTAGGCGAACATTGATTCTCCCGCTTATTCGTGTAGAACGAGTTGCAAGTATTTCGGGCGCACTTGGAAACAAGGTAAAGAATTTGTTTACAACTTTATTTTGTAGTTAAATTCTAACTTACTCTAAACTAACTACTCTTCTCTTCTAAATGCTACCGAATGGCGCATATATTTATACATGCGCCTATTATCTGCATGTTTACATCGTTTGGCTATTCTACTTAAATTTAGAATCTTCTATTCACGGACAGTTTAACGTCAGATTTTGTTATTCTGAAAGACAAAATAAAGCATTTTAGTGGTTCTTAAAATCAGCTGAGGGTGGAAACGTTGGCGGCAAATTCTGTGTTGGAAATTATTATACGAATGGAATTTGAGTTATGAAAGATGAGGAAAGGCATTTCAATGGTTATTAAAGTCAGCTGAAAGCGGAAATATTAATGCACAATACAAATTGGGATGTATTATCGAAATAGAATCGGGACCTTAAAGGATGAATAGGCAGCATTTCAATGGTTCCTAAAATCGGCCGAAAGTGAAAATACTGATGGTCGATATGTAATTGGCGATTATTACGAAAATTCAATAAAAATCATAATGGATGAAGAAGCGTTTCGTGGTTCGTAAAATTGACTATAAGTGGAAATGCCGACGGAAAAGTTAAAATTGGATCGTATTACATGCACAGAGTTGGCATAATAAAAGACAATAAAAGGCATTCGAGTGGTTTTTAAATCTGCTGAAGGTGGAAAAATGTCGGAAAATGTTATAATATTGGAATCGGAACGATAGAAGATGAAGAAAAGAAATTCATGTGATACTTAAAATCCGCAGAAAACTGGTTGGGTCAACTTTTTGTCGGACGTTATTATCACTGGAACCACTAAAGAAAAAGCATTTCAGTAATACTTAAGTCAGTTAAAAATGGAACCATATTTGGATAGACTGGCCTTGCTGAATGTTATTATAATGGAATAGGGGTCGTAGAGATGATGCAAATCATTCAATAGTGCCTAAAATATGAAGAATGTGGAAAGCATATTGGTCAATACAACGTTGGATATTTATACGAAAATGGGGTTGTGATCCCCGAGGATAATGAGAAGCTTTTAAAGGTGCTTAAAATCCGTTGAAGGTGGATGTACTGAAAGTAAACTTCATGTTTGATTCTGTTGCCAAAATGGTATTTGGATCATATAAGATGAAGGCGAGGCATTTTGGTGGTATCTGAAAGCGGCTAAAGATGAAGATGACATTGCAAATATAAGCTTGCAGGATGTTATAGTAACGGCATGGAACCCTAGAAAATGATGATGAATAATTTCAGTGATATTTGAGATTTGCCGAAGGTGGAAATGCTATTGCGCAATATAATGTTGGAATTTAACATTAAAGGGAAAGTGCGACCATAATAGATGAAGCAGCATCCAAATGGTACCTAAAATCGGCTAGTAAAAATACATGGATCTCATATTCACAAATTCAGAACGTCGAGAATTTAGATAGAAAAGATTTCGATATACTATTTAAAGCTGTCTAGATAAAAGAATCAGGAGAAAACATCAAAGTTGTTCTTAAAATCCACAAATATTACGACGGAATTTTTAAGAGAAGTAAGTTACAGAGTTTTGTGTTTACATTATATATTTTCAAATTTCCTTGTGTAAATATACATCCTAGATAATGATTAATAGAAATAAAAATCTTGTTATTCAATGCTTCGGCATTACGAAAGATTCTGGGAACATGCAAATTATGGTACTGTACGTAATGCAATATGCTGAATATGGAAGTCTACGTAAATCGGTACTGTACTTACAAATTCATATTAAATATATCACGTGGGGAAATATAGAAATTACGCTCAATAGCAGCAGGGTAATGCGATTAAGTACACAAATTTTTATTATACTAATTTTAGTTATTTCTATATATATTCGAACAATTTCACGATGAAAATTGATTCATTGGGATATCCATTCCGTAAATATTTTATTAGGGGCAAGATGGATCAATTCGGGATATTCTGAATATAACATTGAATAATTTCCTTATTCACGCAGGAAATTTTAAGCAAAAATCCATTTACACGGGAATCTGACGTATACAATCTCGAAATTTTAGTGTGGGAATTTACACTAGGTCACATACCTTTTACTGTAATAACAAAATTCAAGACGATCACCTTATACAGTAGTATGGATCACGACCTCAAATCACGGAAGATACACCAACACATTTTGCTGATTTAATGAATAGATGCTGGAGTAATAATCCGTCTGATAGGCTGAGTATAAAAGATATTGGCAGTTTGACAGATTGTTTGAAAATGACAATAGGAGGATTTTGTTTTAGCGGAAAAACGTCGAAAGTACTTAACGGAGAAATGCGAAATCATACAATAAATGTTCTTTATACATCCTGAAATAAGTAAGAGCATTGATTCAAAAGATTGTGAAGAAGTATTGGTATTATCGGGTATTCTAAAAATTTACGTTTCTTATTAAGAGATCTCGCACTTCCATTATAGTCACATTCTTGAAGATCAGATATACAGCATTACAATTTTCCATAAGGCATTGTAAACATTCTTTATTGAATACAGTAGATGTGACTTGTTTATACTCTTTATTAATAAAATGAGATTTCGCTTAACACAAATTGACTATTTACATTCTTTAATTATTAATGTACATTATATTTTATATACTTCTATCTTATTATTAATTATTTTATCTTAGTAATTAATTACACAATAACTTTGATAGTCCTGTTAATAAAGTAATTAGTATAATTTAAAGTATAAAATTACTATTGTAACGGTGTAACGGCGAGTCAGTCGCTAACTCTAGCAGAGATTCGCGTAACCGTTACTGGGTAAATGAATGAAAGGGTGATTTTAGGCGTGTTTGTATTTGACCGAGTCTTTATTAATTTCTCACTTGTTCCTTTTCGTATCTCTTCTCTACTCCTCTATACTTTACATGTTATTTATACTTTACATCTGGCTATGGCGGCTTAGACATAATGATACAGCGACATGGCTAAAGCTAAATTACATAATTCTTTTCACAATCCTTCCCGTCCTTCCTTTATTACCTAATTATCACAGCCGACTTACCATTGTCACGTCGATCGGTCATGTGACTAACGTCGCGTCCCATTTCTCCCTGTTACACTATACTGTATGTTAAAATTATTGTGTAACAATCTATGATGCTCAGGCATATACGCGTTTATGTAAATAACAGGCAACGTAATTCGGATAATCTTTTTTTTTTAAAACATTAAAATTTTTAAAAAAGTTACGATTGTTAAGGTTAATTAATTTTATTAATTGATATTGATAATTTTGAGTTAATTAATGTCTAAATATTTGTTACTTATATTGGTTTTTAGATGTTCGAATTGGATATAGCAAATTATCTTGACAGTACATTATACAAAGATTGGACAATTTTTGACATGATATCATCTACACAATTTCAATTGTCTGTGAATAGAATCGATATATTTCTCAAAGATTTAAACACAGTACAACAAGCATATCATGAAAAATGCAATATACATGCGTCCGCAAAAAAGAAATTAAAGAAGATTATAAAAGATTATGGCAAAGATGAAATAGAGCGTTTGATCAGTAACCAAGATGATAATACCGAAATAAGTATAGAGGTAAAGGAATTTTAAGAAATTGATTTTTTATTTATTTATTTATTTGACAAACCTTTAAATTAATGATTAGTATGGAAGTGATATCGATATACAAAATGACAATCAGGATCAAGAAAATCAGGAAACGGACAATGAAGAAGTTGAGATTGTAGATAGGGTAATATAATGAAAGATCAAATTAAATTAAATTATAAATACTTACATCTTTTTTTATAATTGTAGATATCTGGTTTACTTTCCTCAAATATAAGTCTTGAGGAAATTTGGTTAAGAGCAACGGACCAATTAAAAAGAAATAATATACGAGTACAGTAAGTATATTATTTTTATAAATAATATACATAATCTATATATTTAATAATTATATTTTAGGTCAATTGAGTCCCGAATTGTTGATCTCTCAAATTGGACCAATATTGAATGGACCAGAATCCTTAAAACTTCTGATCATGCGCAATTATTTTACAGTTCAAGAAAGAAACTTTTTAAGGATAAAATTGATAAGAATGTATTGCAATTATTGCATAATCGGTTTAATAAAATGGTATGTTTTTTATATAGTTATTTTTATTATAATAAATCTAATTTTTATATTAATAATAGGAATCATTGGATGATTTATTGCTATGGAGGAATAAATTTATAAATCTAGAAATCTCATCACAAGATTCACAAATAATTATCGATATAATTTATTTCTTGTAAGTTAATAGAGTGTTTTTAGTATTATATTATTTTTCTAACATTAATTAATTATATTTAGCTATCGTCGCTTACGAAGAGGAATAAATTCCTTAATTTTGCAGCATAGAGAACGAGACTTTATCACCAAAGTTCTTGTAAATATATTCGATCGTCTTTTAGAAGAATTCGATGATTCTATTTTTGAACTTAATTGGTATAGTATATAATTATATTTAAAATACATATTAATTTAAATGCTAATTTAAAAAATATATTAATTTAAATACTAATTTAAAAAAATTAAATAGGATTGAAATAGAGTCTTGCAGTGTTACAAATCGAAAGCGAAAAGCAATTCATGAAGAATACACAGTACTTACTTCTGATGCAAAAAAGATGGATTTAATAGTTAAACTACGAAGATTTGAAAGCGAAGTATTACTACTTAAAGTAGGAAATACGATGGGGCCTATTGATGATACAAAAAATAGAAGAGATCATTCTAAACTTAAAATAGTAATGAAAGATTGTTTAGATGCGTTAAAAAATAACTTACATTTTAAAAAGATAGATCTTGAAGAAATCTTCATTATCGGAATTCAAGTTACTAGTAAGTAAATTGATACAAATATATATATTTATTATTTTTATTATTATTAAAAAAAATTTTTTTATTCTATATAGGCAGAAAATGGACGATCTATTCACTTTCATATAACAGTTTACAAAACTTCTATTTTTTCGTTGAAATGGCAACATTAATATTTCCGAAAACACTTCAAGATATGGAAATTGAGTTGCCAATATTTTTAGAAAAAATTTTGGCATTAAGAGTAAGTATCGTATATTTTTTATTTTCTATAAACTATTAATAAACCATTTACATTTTTCATTTAGCATACATTATTAGATCAAGCCAAAAAAATACAGGAAATGGCTCATAAAAGATCTAGTACGGCAAGCTCTCCTCCTGTAAAAAAAAGGCAAAGGAAAAACGATGATCCCTTTGCTGTATTAGATAATTAATACTGTAACGGTGATCGGCGAGTCTGTCACTAATGGGAAGTTAAATTCGCGTAACGATAGTAAGGGTTTATGGTGAGGCGGAATTTATTATGGCCGAGAAATAATAACTTCTCTAATTGAACTTCCTTTCTTTTCCTTTATTTCATTTCTTCCTTCTTTTATACATTCTTGCACACTTATTACATAATAAAAATGATAAATACAAATTAAGGAAAACTATTAAAAATTCTTATGACGAAGTAATCGCTATTTGATTTTCACACTACTTCTATTACATAATCCCATTAATTGGTCTCATAGTGCCATGTTCGATCCTCGCACAATCCGGTCACGTGGAGCTATTGCGATTATGTCGCGATTCTTCTTTCTTTCCCCTTTTTCCAAGCTCGTGCTCGTTTCTATCGCACTCATTGTACTTGCTACTGCAGTCTTTCTTCCCAACATCGTGGAGAAACCCGGAATTCAGCATAAGGCGCATCACTCTTTTCCGTGTTACAATACTAATAATTCATAGTATTAAATTATTCTATCATTTCAAAATCAATAAGCCTCCCGCTACCACCAACATCATCCTAGTAGTTATCGGAACGATGATAAATAACGCATCTGGAAACTTAAACAAGTCTTTCTGTTATTGTTGTTATGAATATAATAAAGGTTTGGGTTCCAAAGCAAACATACCGGGTTTTCCTTTTATCCGCATCTGCAGCCAAGAGAATAGTTTTCCCCTTATCACACATGGTTCTTTGAACCCTACTCAAATTGTTATAGACTTTCGGAACTTGAGGATCAGTAGGGACACTGTTAGCAAAAGTATAAGTAGGGATAGGAGTAGGCGCATCCACTTTTTACGAGTTTAACGATTGATCCGTGGAAATTGTTTCATCTGATATACGCACTATAAACTAGCCTCATGAATTAATTATTAAGGTACCATCACAAGTGACCTTGTCACAAACCACATTTCAACGACTTGAAAGCTATAAAATTTTGTTCACAATTGATAGTTATAGCACGGTGAATTTTACCTCGAAATAATGACCTAAAAATATATGCAAGTATTGAATTTTTTATGAGTTATTTGTGTAATTAAATATCCAATATTTATCATGCGTCACTGGTATTTAACCTACCAGCGTGAACTCGGTACTTCACCAATGTTTGACGGTCAATTCCTGTTTCACGTTGTGCCTCAGCTATGAATGGAAATTCTAGCGAAGAACCGTCGTGAAAAATCTGCCTGATAGGATGTTGGTATTTATCACTACAGTATTCTTGAATTTATAAAGCCTGAAACGTAGTGGGCTTCGTATTTTCTTTTTGAGTACACTATTCAAGATTAGATGCATTATTGTTATTAGGGTTGCCATCAATATTATTTACATGTTCTTTTCTTCTTCTTTTGGACAAAATGCTAATGCCACCAAGCGATGGACAAGATATTCTTTTCGAGCGATTTTTTGATAATCTATATGTAATGAACCTTGGGCTATTACATCATTTGTTAAATGAATTCTTCCGAGAGAAGAAACTTTGAATTTTCGTGAATTAAGCTTTATTTCTCCCCATTCTTCGTTGGAATCTGGTTCTACGTGATCTTAAAATACATCAAACGCCAGCCACCAGCAGTTTTTTGCGTCCCACTACAACATTCTAATTAAAGAATATTTGAGAAGGGCCCGCCCGATAATACCGTGGGACTTACTCCCGTTCAGATACCCTTTGATCCGGTTGTACAAGTTAATAGAAGACCCCACATACTTTTTTCACTCTCTTTGTTTATCCACAAGTAGACCCCAACCAGCCCCTCTTTAGCCATGGAGAGAAGTAATTCATACACTTGGTCCGGCTCTACATAAAGCAAATCAAACACGTGATAACTCATTTTTTTAACTAATATTTATTTATAACTTCATGGAATTATGATGCCGTAGGCATTTCGTCTACTCACCCAGGACTCATCAGATCTTAGGGGAGCGGGTCTTAGAGCTCTTTAGTAATTCAGGGCCTTGGGAGTCCCAGATTAAGCTATCCCGACCTTGGGGGGAGATTTAAGCAAGATTCTCATCTCGGATACTATATGCTATGACCCGTTAACCTTAAACGGCGTTCGATTTTTAATTCGGGGGCTCTCCCTTAGGGACATCCTCCTGGAGCGTTGTACGAGGGATCCTTAATGTTTCACTGCATCTCGGAAGCTAGCAGCTAATTCAAAGCCACGGGTATTTACCAGGTACAAGTAGATCGGTTTGCCCGCGTTATAAGAGGAAGCAGACATCTTCGCTTTTGTTTCCTCGGAAAGGTTCCGCCCCTTCCGGCTAGCCGACATCTTGACCTTAGTCTCCTCAAAGTGGTTAAAACCAGCAAAGGAGACAGCGACAGATAGAATATTATAATCACAGACACAGTTATCGCTGCAACTTACCGAGATTTTAAGTGCGACACTTGCAAGGCTAATACGTAGAATCCCAAATCCGAATACTACTTCTATCCAATGTTTTCTGCACGATTTTCGAGATCTGTTACGACTAGGATTTAAAAATACCATACTCTTTAGGGCCGTCGATATTATTAACATGGGGCTTATTCTATGGGTTAGGGATAAATGCTCGTGCAACTAAAATATAACAGTGATTTTTTCATAAATATGGTTGATTTTAAACCCATTCTTATGTGACATTTTCTTTTACAGAGGTTTGGCCCAAACATCACGTCTTTTTTATTCTTAATGCGCCCAATATTGAAAACTAGTAAGTTTGAAGTAGTTGCTACTGGTAAAGATACTTCCATTATGATGTTTATTACGTATTTATTATCATATCTACTTTTTAAATTTTGATTGTAAAAGTCATGGGATCAAAAAATATTACGAACTTGCACACACTGCGCACTGATAAAATGTGTACAGTAGTGAAAATGCGTCTAAGGAAAGAGTTCTTCCAATGGTCGAGTATCAACGAACATCATTGGGAAATGTACAAATGAGTGAAGATATATAATATCAATTGTAGTCCGGTCATTTTATAGCAGCAGAAACCGATTTGTGGAGACAATACTTATTACATGAATGTGAGAAACAGGATTACCTAAGCTAGAGATGTAATCTGTCATTCGTTCAAAAATATCAATCCGTATATAAATTCCTATTAATCCGGATATCTCTACGAATAAACAAATGATCAACAACTAGTTTTACTTTGAATAATAATAAGTTTTTTTGGTTCTGATAAATTTTTAAAGAAGTAGACTAATATACAGTATATTACATATAAATTGGTTTGCTAGTTAATATTAAATATTCTATTTTTTTATTTTCACTTATTTAATAACTCTGAATTTGACCAAATTTGATGCTGATTATACGCCCCAAATACTACTGGTTAACTTCCAATAAACCAAGCTTTTTAAAAAAAGTTCGGTTTATTAAAACCAAAACGGCGACATGCATGTCGCCCAAAACACGTGATTTTCAAATTAAAATTTTTAATCGAATATTGTAAGAGTAAAAAAACAATAGATCAATCAAAGCCCTTTGATATGAATTTCTTAACAAATATTGAATATGATTACCGATTAATAATTGTTAAGGCAAAGAATATAACTTGTTTGATTGAACATTTACCAATATAAAAATACAATTCAGATTATTAAAACTTAAGGTAAAGATATCGAAATTCGGATTTTTTTATTTAAATCGGATTTATATCCGATTATGACGTAGCATAGTCAGTTATGAATCCGGCTATTAATCCAGATATGAAAAAGAATACTGTATCTGGATTATATATATATAAATTGATAGCATTTTCTAACATAAGTACAGTACCAGTTTTTTTTTATGTCTAAATTCCTCTTTACACAATAGTCTTTTTTTTTTTAGCTAGAAGTAACTACTATATTATGGCGTCACTATCTGAGTTTTATGCTGCCTATATGAATCAAATTTATTATCTCTTCACAGACCTTACATAGATTCCAATCAATATCCGGATATAGATTTTCGTAACATATGCAGAAAGCTGACTATTAACATCACTAAGCTTTCAAGTTGCGTGAAAATGGATCGTGAGATTCTTTTTGCATATAGTACCATTTTTTATTGCCTTTCACAAGCAGTTACTATACATTTGAATATATATGCAATCCTGAATTTTCTTCTCAAGGTAAAGTGCATATACAGAAATGAATTAATTTTGCAAATAAAAGCAATTTTGTTGTGTCGTAGATGTTGTTGTTGTCACCAGAAAGTCTGTCACTAAAACGGCTCACTCTTCGCGTGACGAGAATCTGAAAACTTGGATTTCAGCACATAATAAGGTAAGGCTTTTAACTTCGAGGTGGTTACAATTTGGTCGACTTTTGCACACTTGCTAATCTCTTCTCGACCGTCTTTCCCTAGGCGCATCTCAAGATTACAGGTGGCACTCTCTTCATGGTGCAAAAGGTAACGTCGCGTCTCTCTTT